TTATCTTCAGGTTTTGGTACCCTAAGTCCATCTATAGTTTTGGTAGGAATTTTTAGACCATTGCAAATAATTTTCCAACATTCATAATCATTAGATTGAATATGTATGGTCATCCTAGTTTTCCAATAACTAAAATTTGTGCCGCTATACATTCTCATGTCTATAACCTACAAATAAAGTTTTGTTTTTTAGGGTGTTCTTAATAGTGCAATGAGTTTTTTCAAAAATAACTCTATAACCTTTATCACATAATTGACTAATACTAAGCAAGTTATGTTTTAAACCTTCAACAAATAAAACATTTTCAATAATAGGAGAGGGATTTTTACCAATACTTCCTACACCAATGATTTTACCCTTGCTATTGTCGCCAAAAGTCACATATCCGCCATCCTTGGGTTGGAGTGTGGTGAACATAGTTTCCAGTCATGTGCCTCGAACATGCACTGTCGAGATACCATCTATCGTTACTGGATTTTGTCTTGAAACATACCTACAAAAATTTGATTTCTCTATTGGTACCCATTTTTTCTTGGGTCCATAAAAGTTAGAATTTGATATCCTTGAGATATCCTTGGGAACCCACATCTTTTTTATTTTAGCAAAAGGATTTCTTTTAATAGGACATGAAGGTGAAATATGACCTTTTGTTCCACAAAAATGACATGTGAGATGAGAGTGATTAGAAGATGCATATACAAAACCATTTTTGGCAGTTTTTACTTTTGAAAAAGGTTTATATCCAATTCCGGCTCTACCAAAAGTACGGTTTTGATTTTTAAGAATTTATCTAAAGTCTCTCTACCTTGAGTGAACTTTGAAAGAGTAGTTTTCAAGTCTTCAATATTTTCTTTTAAGATAATTTGCTCATTTTTTAAAGACTCGTTTTCTTTTTGCAATACAACTAAATGTTTTTCAGAAATTGAAGACTCTGTTTGATTTAAAATCTCATTTTCCTTTTTCATTTTCATGGCTTCATTTTCTAAAACATTTATCTTTGAAGTCAATGATTCATTTTCTTTTGATAAACTTGAAATTACTTTCTTTTGACAATTATTTTTCAAACTAAGTTTCTTAAATTCTGCATGTAATTCATCAAAAGCTAATTGTAATTCATCAAATGTAAAGGATTCGTCATTTACCTCATTTTCATTTCCAAGTGCCATTAAACATAGGTTAGCAACCTCGTTTTTGCAAACTTCGGTTTCTGTGTCGCTTTCATCACTATCTTCTCCCCATGCTGCAATCATAGCTTTCTTTTTGTCCTTCTTGAATTTTTTCTTAAGTTCTGGACATTCTGATTTGTAGTGTCCAGGTTTGTTGCATTCATAGCAGGTTACTTCAGATTTTTTGTGATTTTCTCCTCTTTGAAAATCCCTGTTGTTGAAGTCTTTTCTGAAAAAATTTCGTACACCTTGTTTCTTTCTCACAAACCTTTGGAACTTTCTAGTGATGAATGCCATTTCCTCATCCTCATCTGAATCATCTTCCTTATCCTCTTGATGTTTCGAGGTGGATTTGAAAGCTATTCCTTTCTTCTTGTTGTTGTCCTCCTCTTCCTTTCCTTCTTGCATTATGAGCTCATGAGTTAAGAGAGATCCCATTAACTCATCTAGACTTAGCTTTGATAAATCCTTGGCTTCGGTATGACAATGACTTTTGTCTCTCAACTTTTTGACAATGACCTAAGCACTTTTCTTACAATTTCAACATTAGTATATATTTTGCCAAGACAAGTTAAACTATTAATAATATCAGTAAAACGAGTAAACATTTGAGGAATAGTTTCATGAGGTTTCATTTTAAAAAGTTCATAATTATGGACTAGCAAACTGACTCTAGATTCTTTAACTTGTTCGGTTCCCTCATGAGTCACTATAAGCTTGTCCCAAATTTCTTTAGCGGTTTTACATGTGGAAATTCTATTGAACTCGTTGGTATCTAAGGCGCAGTACAATATGTTTGTAGCTTTGACATTAATTTGGGCCATTCTAGTATCTGATTCATCCCACTCATCTTCAGGTTTTGGTACCCTAAGTCCATCTATAGTTTTGGTAGGAATTTTTGGACCATTACAAATAATTTTCCAACATTCATAATCATTAGATTGAATATGTATGGTCATCCTAGTTTTTCAATAGCTAAAATTTATGCTGCTAAGTAGAGGTGGCCTATTAGATGCTGGTCCCTCGGGTAAGGAATAACTAGGGGTTGCCATGATCTACTCTAAGACGGTTAAGTCACAAAAACTAGAGTCTAGGCTCTGATACCAATTGTTATCCCAGATAGACAACCCAAGAGGGGGGTGAATTGAGTTATTAAAAATTTCACAATATTAAAAATAACACAATATTCAGAATTTTAATAAATAAAAAAAAACAGAATAATAATTATCAATATAAAAGTAGAAGAGATAGAGAGAGAAAATCAAACATTGCGATTTATAGTGGTTCGGCACGCCAGGCCTACGTCCATTTCCCAAGGAACTTCTTTGAGAATTTCTTTACTATCAATTGAATAAATACACCACCAAGTTTGTGGATTTGACACAGGACTTACTCTTATCTATTGAGCCTCACTCAACAATAAATGCTTTACCTTTACAAAATCTCTCACAAAAATAAGGAATAAGAATAAGTGGTAATTGAACCCACTTTTACAATAATTCTCTCACAAAGATAGATATGAAAGTATAAGAACAAAAGCTAGACTTAGATCTGAAAGTGAAAGAGAAGAATACAATTTGGAGCTCACAGAAAATTTTCTCTTCAAGTTCTTGATTTTTTCTCCACACACAACACTTCTATTTATACACAAAAATATACCCGTTGGACGCTCCTTGCTGACGTCATGGCTTACATAAGCACGCTCCTGATGTCATGGCTTACATAAGCACGCTCTTGATGTCATGGCTTACATAAGCACACTCCTTGATTTTAAATAGTCAGCAAATATTAATAATTAAAAAGATAAAAGTAAGACTAATTTTTTCTTTTCCTTTTGTTTATTTATTTATTTTTAAACATGGAGCTACCGTTTTTGTAGACAATTTAATACAAAGTTCACAACTTTTAAATAAACAGATGATTTGCTCCATCTATATATATATATATACATATATATAACTCCATCTTTTTCTTCTTGTTTGATTATAATATGATATAATCAATTTAGTGTAAAAAGTTTAATAGCGCACGTGATGTATTCTATTTATATTATCTACATTATATATATAATGTTCTAATCAAATATTTGCATACAGAAAAATCTCTTTAATAATATTTATGATGGATCTGAAAATATATGTCCTCTTTAAAATATTGTATATGTTGTAGAGATTTTAAACTAAATATATTCTACCACTCCATATTAATTTTGTCAATACAAGATAACCCATCAATATCAAATTTGTCAAAATAATATAATTAATCAATTTTTAATTTGGTCAAAAAGTGAATAGTGATCAGCCTCAATTTTCAAAAAGTGAATAGTAAAATTTTCAAAAATATTTTTATTTAACTAATATTTAACAAATATATATATATATATATTCTTTTAAAAAGATAATATTTTAGGTCAAATACATATGTATATTAAAAAATTCAAATTATTACAAATAATATTTTAGACATCATCAAAATTAAATAATATGATTAACAGAACCAATATTGAGTGATGATTTTAAAAATCAATTTCTCATTTTCCGAGCAAACAGAAGTTTGTTGCATCTACACATGGAGATGAACAAGTTACAACAATACCTTATTTTCTAACACATCACCAGCATAAAAATATTCAAATGCTGCTAAATTACAAAACTTTGAAGTGAATTCCTAAGCTTGCCTTTTGTTGACATGGTTTTCCCCTTTATTCCCAATCCAAAGTTTCTGAATCCAAACTACCATAAACATCTAGCCAACATCCCAACTCCCAAAAAAAAAAAAAAAAAAAAAAAAGTTTTCTTTATTTGGGATCAGGCCAACATCCTGTTCTAAAAATTGTGTTCATACTTCGAGTTTGTAGCAGCCAAGAGAGCAGCTCCAATCCCAGACCCATCTTTTGTATGTTCTATGACTATGTTGTTTGAAATTTCTGATCCGAGAAGCTCCGTGACTGCATCTTGGAGGTATATTCTGTATTGAGGATAGTGCTCGTACAAGCCTCCATCCATCGCTACCACTGTCCTCTTTCCAGAGACGAGACCTTTTGAATCTGCCATTTTTTGAAGTATCCCAACAATACCAGCACCAGCTAAGCGCCCACCCCGCTTTACAATTGTGTCACAAACTTCCAAGACTATCTTCCTTGCATTTAAATTGGATTTCACCTAGTATATCAAAGACGGAAAATTTGTTAGAAAGTTCCATAACCGGCTTCAACTTGGAAATGCTTGTAAACCAATTTTCAGTGATTTTTTTTTTTTTTGGGTACATTTATTTAGTTGTTATTTGGTACATTTATTTAGTTGTTATTTGGATGTAAATATGAGAGATATAAAAGGGGAGCGTGATGAGTGATTTACCCCGGCCACTTTATATAGGATTGCTTCAACAACTTCAAGATCTTGAGAGTTGTCCTGCTGCATAGCAGACATATCTGGGGTCCTAAAGAACACAGTTCAGAGCAGACTTAGAATATAATCATACATGGATTGAAACTTAAATGTGATTCCATAGGGATAATCTATGCAAAAAAGAAAGAAACCCTGAAAAAAGGTCGGAATATTTCAAAGAACAACGACCATGACTTTCTTCAAATTGAATTTTTTGAACAAGCCTTTTTCCCCAATAAAACACACACCTATGAGGAGCCAAACCAATATTTTCACATTGGATTTATTCAATTTAAGGTGTTTGTTTCAGCAGTCTAAAGTGATATTTTACCTGAAAAACTACAGCAAATGAATTTTACGTAGGATTTTTATATTTGTGGAACATAGTCTTTACAGCAGTAATTTTTGCAAGATTTATTTTTATTTTTTTCTTCAACAATGAGATTTCTCTAAATTCTACCCTAATGCTGCATTCAATGGACAGGAAAGGAAAAGGAAAAACAAAATCGGTTTCTTTTCCTGTACGTGTGTTCAGTTGAAGAAAATGTAGGTTCTACCATAACTGTTTTCTCGTATATGTTGGAAAAGATGAGAAGGTCTGATACCTGAGCACAAATGGAGTGGATAATTTCTCCAGAACAAATTCACCAAACAAAGAACCTGCTTCAGCCATCTTTAGTAGCACTCGTCTTACGATTTCTCCAAGGTACATGCCGGAGATTGTCTTCTCAAATATCTTTCTCCACGGAATACAGAGAGAGAGAGAGAGAGAGAGAGAGCTTGAACATTACTTGAATAAGAAATAAAAACTAGAAATTGTTACAATGAAACAAGGGTTTACCTGCTCACCAGGATTGATACTCTCAGCATCCATGTCCCTATCAAACTGAGTCAGAGGAAGACCATTTGAAAATGCTCCCCACTCTGTATTGATAATCTGAATCAAGAACATTCATCAAAATATAGCATTGAAAAAAAAACCGTGGTTCTTGGTCTGGGTAGGAATTTTACAAACCGTCCTTCCAGATGTGGAATTGTGGCCCTGTAACTTAGGTATAGCATCTACGCATTCAATATAGCATGCATTGGTTCCAGTTCCCAGAATGACAGCAACTGAGACATCGTCATCCCAGTATCTTGCTCCTGCTAGTGTTCCCACAGTATCATTGACCTAAGTTGCCCCAAATTAATAACAATAACACACCAGTCAACGGACCAGATAAATATAAATAATAACTTCATCGTTCTACGTCCATCCTAGTATATTGACTAGAACATACCAGGGCAGACACCTGCATATCCAGTCCCCGCCTTTCCATAGCATCATTCAGACAAGCTACTACATCTTTTCCAGCCTGTACAAAAATTAAAGTAGCATGGATCGTAAATTTTGATGAACTATGCATGAATTGTTAGGATAATAACTCTGTTTCCACTCCTATTTTTGACACCATGAATGTAATAGGATTAGATGCATTGGTTCTCACTTTTGTTTGAATGATAGCACTGTGTACTTCATCTTCAAATATATCCATTTAACCCCACCTCCCAAAAAAAAATCTATATTTTTTTTTCCAAGGACAACAACCAATTCCAGTGAACCAATTTTCACATATAGTTGAAAAGAAAAAGAAAATTAGGAAAATTGTTATGAGAAAGTTAGTTCTTAAATGTTTACATTACTTCTGAAATGTGGTCTCCCAATGTTTTCTGAACATTTATTCACCAAATTTGTTCACATTCGGAATTTCATGCATGTTTGTTTGCACTTGCTATCCACTAACATGCAATTTTCCCTAAGAAATACCAACCGTTCCAGAGACTGCAAAGCCCTTTGTCCATTTGATTAGTATGCCAGAGTCAATAGATGTCTGCTTCACCGGGAAAGAAAAGGTGAATCCAATTTCCCTTTTCCTTCCACTAGGCAATTGAAAATTTCCACCCTCCTTTTCGGCAAAGTTTGCTAGCCCAGAAGCAATAAAATCAAATAGCTCCTACAATTGTACCACAAACTTGCATCAATCAACAAGTAAAATATTTTTAAAAAAAAATTAAAAATAAAGAAATTGACAAGCAATTTTTGAAGATGAATAACAGAATTAACCTCAGAGGTGCCAAACATGATCTCTTGTGGGATTGAAACTTGCTCGAATTCAGTAGCGATCACGCGATCATCTTTCCCTCCCAATTGCACCCTCAGCACTCGGAAATTTGTTCCTCCAAGATCCAATGCATAGAACAATCCTTTCTCGTTACTTGTACAGCAAATTCATTGAGTTATTACAATTAATTATATATATAACAAAAGCAAAAAAGTTTTTTTCTTTTTTTTTAAAGGGTTAATTCTCTAGGGTTAATTTTCTATTTGTACCCCTTTTTGCCAATCTCTTGATTCTCAGTGGAACTAGATTGATTATTTGATCTTTAAGTACAACATGTATATATATACTAGTTTTGTTTTAATTAAAAATATGTGTCCATTAATTAAGCAGAAGTAGAAAAGAAAGGAAAAGAAAAGAAAATCGAAAATTTGAAGTTATAATATGATCAGACCATTGGAGAACTAGTTCGGACAAACTAATAATTGTAGATTCAGTTCAACTATAAGCCAAGCACACTACACCAAAGTCAAGAAAGTAGAAAGAATTGAAAGAAGGAAAAAAGAAAGAAAATTGGGGATACCCAGTTGGCAAAGAATCGACATAGCTGAGAATCATCGGAAGATCACTGCCAGTGTCAGCGGAGAGGCCGGCACGCATGTCGGCGGCCATGGAGTCGGCCACGTGGCGCAAAAGGGGCAAAGGAGTAGCGCAGTCTTTCTGCAACTTTGTCAAGATTGGGGCGACGGTGACAACGTTAGATCGGACGGCCATCCTAAACCGTGGGATTCCCACCTGAGATGGAGAAAGACAGAAAGATCGGACGGCCGGTGGACTTACGGTGACGGACATTGTCGGTAGACGGTTAGATCAAGAATGATGGAGAAAGAAGTAGGAGAGAGAGGGGACTAATGGTGATGTTGAAACAGAGCGAGAGCGAGCGAGAGAGAGAGAGAGAGAAAAAAAAAAAACAGAGTGCTTAATGGGAAGTATCTTTGAACCGTTGAGTTTTACTTTACTAAAAAAAAAATGTGCAGTTTTTTGAATTTAATTTTTTTATAAATTGAGTTTTTTATTTTTATATATTTATATTTTATATTTATTTTTAGTAAATATTTTTTTAAATTTTAAGTATTTTTTTATTATTTTAGATACATCTTACTTACATATATTTAAAAAATAAAACATTTGTAAAAAAATATTTCAGAAAATTAATAAATAACCAAAAATATGAAAAGTATATATATTTTTTTATATTTTTGGTATTTAGTAAATTTTTTAAAGATTTTTTTCACGAAAATTATACTTTTTATGTGTATTTATGTTAGGTGTGTCTAAAAATAAAATACAAATGTATAAAATATTAAAAGATTCAATAAATTTTTTTTGAAAAGTATTTTTAGAAAACTCAAACCAAACAAAGTAAATACTAATTGTGTATATTTTGAGAGAAGAAAAATTAAATATACATTTAATTTTTTACATAATAAAATTATTAGGTCAAATTTTAATCATTAAACTATAAGGGTTCATTTGGCAGGAAGGTTTGGGCTGAGTTGGGATTATTTTAGCCACAAAAAGATAAAATAAACTTTTTAACCTAATAAAACAAAATGTCACATCTAAACTATAATTGTTTAATTTTTTTTATCACAAAAGTCAAAAAGTCAAAAAAATTCATCCAAAATGAGACATTTTAACCACAGACTAAAATAGTCAAAAAAATAAAAAAATAAACACACATCCCAAACGAAAACTACCCTTTGAGTTTTACTTTAGGATAAATTACAAATACATTTCTTGAGATTTGATTAAAATACAAATCGTCTTCTGTGGTTTTGGAAATTACATTCCACCCCTGAGGTTTTTAATTTCATAACAAATAGTCTCTTTTATTAATAAATCATCAAGTCAATTAACAGTTTTTAATGATGTTAAAAATATATTTTGATTAATAATTTAAGTAATTTTATTATTGTATAGGATAACAATTATGAATTTTATTTTTTTAGTTAATTCTGTTAAATAAAAAATATTAATAGAAAAATATTTGTAATTTTTTAAACTATAAAAAATAATTTATATTTTAAACAAATTTTAGAACATGCATTTGTAATTTACCCTTTACTTTATTATAAGAAGAGAATATATAGAGTAATACTATGAAATAGATAAAGGATTTGCCGTCTTTCGGGTTGGTCATTTTAATTTGAGAGTGTGTTGGGGGCTTTGTAGTCTTGTTTTGTGATCTATTTTGGTGATTTAAATTATTTATTTTTTAAAATTTATTGAATAAAATATTTATGTAACAAATTAAGATAATCGAATATCAATAGTTATATGTTTAAATCAAGTTTGTATTATAAAAAATGGATGACTATTATATTTATTATCTATTTTTAAAAAATAAATATGATTCAAATATATAGTTACTGATATTCAATCATCTTAATTTTTTGTGAGAATATTCTACTCAACGGGTCTTAAAAAGTAAACTATTTGAACAATTGAAATTGGTCTCAAAATGGGCTTATAAAGTCTAAACGCTCTCTCAAGTTAAAATGACAACTTAAAAGGAACCAAACCCATAGAAAAATTCTATTCATAGAGCAAGTTTTGAATACTTCCTCTATCTTAAAATATTAATCAATTATACCATTTTTCATTATCGCAAAAGTTAGTCCACTTTCAAAAAGTAAGGAATAAAATAATATAAATTTACTATTTTGCCTAACTTTTAAATTCATTAATAAAACAAAAAGTACAATTATGACAATTGATATTTTCAAAAAAATGTACTATCAAAGGTTAATTTTAGAAAATTAATATTTTTTAAGTATAATAATTGTACTACAAAAAAAGTTAAATTCTCCAAAATGGACCATTGTTTTGGGATGGGAAGAGTATAAATTTTTTTAATAACTCGATGTTTTCAATTTATGCACTCAAAATCTTAAAATTAACGATTAGATAAATTTTCAATAATTCTTAAATGACTCAAATTTAAAATTTAAAATTTTATTTTTTAGTTTGAGCATAGTTAATTTTAATCTAAACGTAAAAGTACTTAAATAATTAAATAAATAATGTACAGTTGAAAGTCTTTTCTTTCAGATAAATTGTAAATACACTCTCCGAGTTTTATTTAAGATACGAATTGTCCCTACAATTGCAGAAATTGCATTCCATCTCTTTAAGTTTCTAATTTCATAATAAATTGCCTATTTTATTAATAAATTATCAAGTTAAGTAACAGTTTTTAATGATTTTATAAGTTTATTTTAATTAATAATTTATATAAATTTATGATTATACAAAAAAATAGTTATGAATTTAATTTTTTAATTAATTATATTAAATAAAAAATTCTAATAAAAAAATATTTATAATTTTTAAATCACAAAAAATAATCGCTTTTCTTTAACAACCTAACCGGTTCCGGTTGCATCAAAAAGAAAGTTAATGAAAACAAACAAAAAAAAAAAATCTAACCGGCTACCTACACAGTTGTGTTGTGGGGGTGTCCAAATTGGTGTGAGCTGGTTGGTTGGGGGTATAGTATTAGTATTAGAAAGAGAGAGGGCGGACAAAACGATGTTGACACAACATCTAAGCTTTGTTCTTGTTTGGTGAATCCGATTCGGATGTCTTCAATGTCGCCTGTCACCATTTGTTTTCATTTTTTTAATGTAATCTATATTTATATTTAAGAAGCATATTCTAGTAATATATGGTGTGTTGACTGTATATTACTTAATTGGGGCTCATCAGTTACTTATCTTGAGCTTTTTTACTTTAATAAAATGTCCAAGGTTATATTCTCCTTGTAATGTATTCCAAAAAAAAAAAAAAAACTATTTTCATAAAATTAGAGTAGAAGGTAGGAGAAATTGCAAATACCTAATAGTTAAAAAATAATTACAATGCAAATGAAATTTTTTTTGGGATAACTCTGACATAGAGGAAGAGTTGTACCAAATATAAGAATAAATTTACATTATGCATATAAGAGAATTGCACCATTATAAAAATATAATTTTTGTCACTGTTCCACTGAAATGCAATTCACCTTAAAAACTATTAGTATGAGGGTTGAGATATCAATACATATCCCTTATCTCATATACTTTTTATCTTCTTTTTAATTAATTATTTTCTTCAATGTCATTCTTTCCCACGACTTCAAGCCAATTTCAAAAGACAAATACAGGTCTAATCTAAATAGGCTAATTGTTTTTAAAACTACATAGTGCATATGACTAACTCAAAACTTATCAAATTTAGGAGTGATTTGGAAAGTTGATTAAAAGTTGACTTTTTAATTTTTTTTTTTTTATCATTTTGTGTATAAAAAATATGAAAGGTGATGTGACTCAAAATAAATTAAAAATTAAAACTAATTTTTTTTTTTTTTAACTTCCCAAATGGCCCTTATAATATAAGAAAATACTCGTGTCCTAGACAAAGTACAACATAGTTACATAGTTATATTTCATACTAGATTACAACAAACATTTGTTTTGTATATAAAAATCTATAATTTTAAAATTAATTTTCTCTGCAATAATTACCAACACACTTAAATCACGGAACATGTAACATATACATTTTAGTGCAAAGCTAGCTGATGCTCACTAAAGCCAAAAGGGTCCTACGAACAAATTCACATGCATGGCAACTACGTACTGGTGGTCTGATCAGTGGTCCCCTTCTGCATTACTAATATTCAACAAGTTTTATGATTTGGTGGGATCTAATTCTCATAGTTCTACAGTCTATACTTTCAACAGCAAACATGTTTTATGATTAAGGCCAAGTTTGGCATGACCTAAATAATACAAAAAGTCAAAAAGTCACTATCTTATTTAAGTCACATCATCTTATTTAAATCACATCACCTCTCTAACACATCACATCAAACCCAACCCATATAAGTCAATAAGTCAAAAAGTGTACTTTTTTAGAACATCCCAAACCAACCCTAAGTGCTGGTTTCGGATTTTTTGTTTTTGGTTTTTTGAAGAATTAAAAAGTTAATGTGTTTTGGGAAGTTATTAAAAAACTGTTTTTTGTGAGTGAAAAATTTGATGTGATATTTAATTTTTTAGCTAATGATAAATAGTTTAGTAATTGTTTTAATCAAAAATTAACTTTTTAAACTGACGATAAACAACGAAAGATCGTAATGAAAAGTTAGTTATGAAATTATCTTTGTAATTCTTTTGTCAATTGCTCCAACTGAATAGGCACTTTTTTTAATTTGATCTAAAAACTTAAGATGAATCAAGTTTTTAGCTACTAAAGTACCAACTGCAAACTGAATAAGCACTTATTTTAATTTGATTTAAGAGTTTAAGATGGATCAAACTTTTAGCTACTAAAGGAACCGAGCGCAAATTTATTCAGCCACCAATGAATATGTGAACATTATACTTGATGTTCATTGATTGGTTTTAGTGTTCGAGTGGAGAGCAACCAACAAGAAAAATTTGCTCTCAAAGGTACCTTAACACATGAGCCAAATAAGCCATTAATCAAGGGTTGATTTTAGGGAATATTTGGGTAACATTATATATAAGCATACTTTTTAATTTTTAATTTTTTTTAATCACATTATTTTTTTTTATTTTTTTTACATTTTTTTATAAAAAATTAAAATAATATATTTATTTAAAGGGTCCAGCTTGTCTCAAGTTGAGATCAAGACTGGACCAATCCAGTTCGGCCTATGGGGCCCATTTTTTGGGCCCGTTTTGATAATCTGAACCGTTCAATGTGTAGAAATCGTCGAGTACTATATATCTGTTAAAAATTACGTTGATCGGATATCAATAGCTATGTGATCAAATCAGTTTTGTGTAAAAAAATGGACGGTGAAACAATTAACGGTTGATAAAAAAACTGTTTTGTTCACATAGCTATCGATATCCGATCAGCGTGATTTTTTACAGTTATATAGTACTCGACAAGTTCTATACGTTGAACAGTTCGGATTATCAAAACGAGACCTGTGGTAGATCTCCACAAATCTAACAATACAATCCAATCCGATCTTAAACTGAACCAAAACCACTGCGTTATTTAAATCATTTCAAATCATCACTTAACTTCTTCGTCACATTGACTTTCACATAATTGTAGTAGTTTTGTGAGTGAGTGTGTGTTTTGAAAGCACTCCATCAGGTGGGCTCGGATATTCTTGTGTCTTGGATCTGATGGTCATTAGAGCACCTCAGAATCTCTGTTGTGCAGTGGATCACCACACACCACTAGATGGAAGCCCACGAAGAGTCCAGTTTGGTGGAGGAATTTCAAGTGAATACATAAATTAAACACAAAAAATACATAGATTGATAAAATTTTACAAAATTTATTGGATAATATTATATATACTAATTAATATATTAATTAATATACTAACAGATAATGTAACATAATTTTAAAATTTTTAGATATTTATAATTTATACAATGGATGAGATCAATAATAATGTCATAACATATGGAAAAATTCTATTTTCAGACACTTACCTCAGTACACATACTTAATAAAATATTTTTTTAATAACAATTATACTCTAAAATAAAATGACTATAATAGATATCAAAACACATTTATAATATTATATCAAAATATTCTTTGTACACATTTTTTAAAAATATAAAAATCTCAACACATTAAAAAAAATCTAAACCCTAATTTCTCTCCATTGTTCCCAATTGTCTAAACCCCTCAATTTCATTTAAAATTCACCTCATTGTCATTTGATCTCTCTCGATTGGTCGAAACCTAAACCCTAATTTGTCGTCCAAACATTAAAGCGCATTTACGAGTGAAATAGTTTTTGATTTCTTATAATTGTATTCACTTTGCTTGTTTTTGGTTTACCAAAAACACTTTTCAAAAAATTTTACTTTCTTTTTTTCGTATTTTTTTATTTTTACTGAATTTTTTTAATATTTTAAGCATTTTTTTTTTAATTTTTAGACACGCCTAACATAAATACACATAAAAAGTATAATTTTGTGAAAAAAAGCTTTTAAAAATTTATTAAATATCAAAAATACAAATAAAAAAAAACGAAAATTCAGTATCTTTTTCGTATTTTTATATATTTATTAATTTTTTAAAATATTTTATCACAATTTTTTTTTTTTTTTAGATACATCTAAGTAAGGTGCATCTAAAAAAGTAAAAAAAATGCTTAAAATTTTAAAAATATTCACTAAAAACAAAAAAATATATGAAAAATAAAAAACTCAATTTTCAAAACTTAATCCAAAAAAACTCAGACCAAGCACACACATTGGTTTCTGTTTCGATTTCGAGAATGTTCAACGGGATGATGGATCCTAAGTTGATGAGAAAATTCATGTGCAATTGAATATAAATTTAATGAATACAAGATATTGGTGGGATTTTAGCTGATAATTTGGATGAGGATAGGTTCTTCTGGGGACCTGTTTGATTTTTATTTGTGTTTAACATGAAATTGCTTCAAATTGAAGGAAGAAAGAGACGAAAATTGTCTCCTTTTATTTTTTTGGCGTTTTATTTTCCTATTGAAATATTGTCATGAGAATATTTCTCTTTGATTTGTTTGCTTTTTTTGGCTTTTGTTTTTGGTCTTTAATTCATTGGTTCATGGTAATTATTTATTTATTTATTTATGATAGGGCCTTCAATGGGGTCTTCAATGGAAGACTATGGTATTTTTGTCTAGAATGGAACTATAGCAGTGGGTCTGCAATTTTCAACAAGTGTGTGAAAGGAGGGTTAAGGTAATACGTGTACAATGATATGAATGAAGGGTATAATTGAAATATTTAGTGTGTGGATTGAGAAAAATAATTAATAATCAAATTAATAAGTGTGTGTATTGAGAAATGATGCACACTGAGATAAGTAAATGTGTGGAAATAGAATTTTCCTAACACATTTAGCACCACCGAAATTTATTAGACGAATTACATTAACAGTCCTCTATAGTTTAGGACTTGTCACTTTAGTTCTTAACTTTTCAATTGTGATACATTTAATCTTAAATTTTAAATTTCGTTCTAAATAAGGACAATTGAAAACATTGTTGCTTCATTTAAAGGGCAAAGTCGTCATTCAACTTATTTTGTGTTAGTTGACTTATATATTATTTGAAATATAATAGCCTTTTTTTTAAATATATAATGTTAGAACTTTTTTGATTATAAAGTTTTGTTTGGTTTGGTTTGGTTTGGTTTTTCGAATTTTTTTTTCTAAGAAATTAAAAATTAAATCGGTGAAAAAAAAATTAAAAATACATCATTTTTGTATAATTTTACCTTCTAGAGGGTAGAAATAATCTTTTAAAATATTTTTTTTTTGATATTTATTTTCATTAAATTAGTTTTTATTTTTTCAAAGTCAACCATGGTAACAACGTTAATATCATTATTAAATCAATTATTTAAATCAAAAAAATCTAAAACTAAAAATATTTCATATATTAAACATATCGATTATACATTAAAAGCCTAATAATCATCAATTACATGATAACTATTCAAAAATATCTGTTAATAACAAGTAGAACCATTTATTACATGATAACCATTTAAAAATACCAACAAAAACAACTAGCCATTGCATGATCATCATCTAAACACATAATAAAAATTAATTTGGTAAACAAATAAAAATATAAAATATTTATCATTTTTATAGAATTTTATCTTTGGTGAGTAGGAATAATTCTTAAAAATTTTAAAATATTTTTTTGACATTTATTTTTATCAAGCTAGTTTATATTTTATCAAATTGATAACTTTACCCTTGAAATAAAGCAACAATCTCTTTAATTGTCCTTATTTGGAACGAGATTCAAAATTTAGAGTTAAATGTATTACAATTGAAAGGTCAAAGGGTAAAGTGACACAAATCCCAAACTATATAAACCGTTAGGGTAATTTACACAAATTTATTGGTGGATCCATTTCTCAAAAAATTTCGTCTATTAATATTATAATATTATTTTTTCATATATAAAAAAGTAATATTACATATCATGAAAAAATATAATAAAAAATCTTCATAAAACTAATTAAAGAATAATTATATAATATACAATAAAGAATAATATTAGGAATCATAAAAAATATATCATGAAATGCTTCATGAAATTTTTTTATGTTTTGATTAGTGTATAGAGTTTTATTATATGTGTAATTTAAGGATGAAATTTTTTTTATAATTATCTTTATGATATTTTTTACATGATCCCTTATCATTACTCTATAATAAAACACTATAAATTATCTAAAAATAAAGGGTCTTTATGATAATTTTTTATGATATTTATTCCATCATATCTAACAATATTGATATAAGAAAAAAAGTTAAGAATCATGAAATTTTTTTCAATCATGAAAAATTTATGATCATTGAATTACTTTGATTAGTATATAATGCTTTTTTCTACATATAACTTAAAATCACAAAATTTTCATGATTATTTTTATAAATTTTTTTCATAATGGCTAATATTGCTAGGGTCGCAAGACCCATTAAACCAAGACCCAATAAGGTCCAATGACCAGCTTCACATAGAAACATAAGCACACTTTACCGAATCTCTCAATTCACCCAAAAACAGAATCTCTCGACACAGTGTCTCGCACACACCAAAAAAATTACAGTGAAGTGGACGCGAAGAAACGAAGCTCCCTCCCTTGCTTGTATGTATCTCTATCTGTCTGCTCTATGAATACGATATATATCCCTCACTCAGTCACTCTCTCTCTCTCTCTCTCTCTCTCTCTCTCTCATCAAATTAAAAGGGTCATCTTTGTTGCTACATTCATTCAATCCACCTACATTACATTAATCTTCTTGTCGATCTTGTCTATTGTTAACAACATGAACGGCGAAGATGGAGTGATGAAGATGATGAAAAGAGCAGAGATAGATACCAGGGCACCGTTTGGGTCCGTGAAGGAGGCTGTTATGTTGTTTGGTGAGAGAGTTCTTGCTGGCCATGTCTATTCCCCCAACAAGCTCAAAGAGGTATATATAAAAATAATGTTACGTCTATAATATATATATATATATATAGAATTGTACACAGAAATTATTTGTGGAACTGGACTATACATTCAAAATTTATTTATTTATTTGTATAATTTACTTTGCATTTCCATTAGACATAGAATGATCATAGATTTTAATAGGTGATGAGTCCAGTAGTAATTAGTGCTGTGATATTATTTTTCATCCCATTAAGTGCTTATAATTAAATAGTTTTCTATAAGGCTCGTCTCCATTCTACCATGTTGATTGTTTAAATCTATAACCTCTTCCTTAGCCATACTTTGATGATTCAATCTATTTATTTTCTAAGTTATCGTGTTTGGGTCATTTATGAAAAAAGTTAAATTAATTAGATAATTATAGTTTTACGATTTTATCTTATTTTAAAAAAAAGAACAACAATTATAATTTTAAAACTAAATTATCTCTTTTTTTTTATAGACAAATATGATATTTTTTTTAGATCGATCTAATTTTTTTTTCCATTGAAAATCTACTCACAATAGACTTAAAAAAATAAATAGAACAATCAAATTATCAAATTGAACCCATAGACCTAAATAATACTATCCAAAACATATGATTAATTGGAGAGAAGCCTTACTCTCGGTATATCTAGAACTAAATGTCCAACTTAATTGGACATTGATTTTGCACCCACAACAACTATAGTCTTACATTCTTAACCACAATATCTCCAATTTGTTTGTTCATATCTTTTTGAGGATTAATTTGGAAAAAGCAAAACATCAAGACAGATATTTACTAAAGTTGAATTGATTGGCTTTAAGATTTAGATGATTAATCTATAAGTAAAGCATTCATGCATCTATTAGGTATAGTCTAGATTGTAGAACACACAAAAATATAGATTGAAAAATGTTTGCTTAAACATGAATTCAAGTATTCTTCTAGTATAATTGGAATGTAGCCCATTTATCTAGATGCATGCAGTAGGCTTATCCTTTTTCCTTTTTTCTTAATTTTTTAATAATCAAGTGTGATAGAATAAAGGTACATAACAAATAAATATAATGAAATTATTGATTGTGATACAATATATAACAACTTAGCTGTAAGCTTTAATAGAGAATCATCAATTGCTTTGGTTTCATCCAATAGAGATGCCAATTCACATGACCTGCTAAGTGCCTTCCCTAGTATTGGGAAAGTACTAAGGAAGCCACTAGAGAGGACTAGAACTGTACTTACAGTAAGTAATGTACTATATGCTCATGATTTTAAATATCAATCATTTTTAAATATCGCGTTTTAGATCTTTCGATATTGATACATTTTAATATGCATAAAAATTACGTGTATATCGATGCATAGTCTATTCATAATTATTTAATCGGTTCAACTACTATAAAGCACTTTCTATAGCTGATGATTTTAAAATTTTCCCAATTGTCTCACTTGATTTTTATACATATGACTCAATAATACCACTACATGGTGACTTATATCAATTTGTAATCCAATACTGCATTTAAACCTTTAGTTCTACTTCAAACCTAAATTTTCATTGATAGAATACACTACATTTAGTGTAACTTTCTAAAAATTTACGAGTGAAGCATGAATTGATTGGATGTAAATTATAATAGTATCAAATTTTCATCCACCGTTTGCATGCCCATCCAAAATTGATCAGCAGACATCAAATTAATGTTTCTAACCCTGTGATTGATAAATATCTTCTATATAATAATTTGTTTTCTCGTTTGGCATAATAGATGCAAAATGAAGAAAATGGCAATGGCCCTTCAGAGATTGGGAATGTTACAGCAGAACTAGAAGAAACAAAGCAAAGCCTCCAAAAAGCAAAACAAGAAGGTATGCTAATGGCTACTTGCCTGTCTTCCTTACAAGAAGAGCTCGAACGAACTAAACGCGAGCTCCATAAACTGAAGGAAAGAGAATCAGAAAAACAAGTAATCATGGAAACAGAGATCGATGATGAAGACATCAAGTTTGTCGAAGATACTACAAAATTTGAAGCCAAATCACATACTAGAGTTGAGTTCCAAAAGAAGAGATATGTGACTTTTGCTAATCCTCCATCATTTGCAAAAGTCATGGTACCACAAGGTGATGCAGTGCTTCAAAGGCACCCTTCTCTTAGGAAGAAGGAGAAGAAACCGTTGATCCCTCTAATCCGGGGAATTTTTTCGAGAAAGAAAGGAGGCTCTGAAGTTGCATCGCTGTGATCTTAATTAAATTTGATGAGCACACATAAATATGAAGCGAAAATTTCAAATTAACTTCAATAATCATTATCCAAACATCATCCAATTTTACCATGTTTAATCAAATAATGGTATCATGTTCCGCAAAATAAAGTTAGGATTTTATGAGCAATGTATGAAATGTTTACTTTATTTGATGGAAATCAACTTTGGGTTGCTTCTTCTTGTTCACATTATGTGGAAATGATCTTTGTCTGATGTTTTGTTCCATGTCCAAGTGTCTTTCCCACTCTTGCTGTACTTGGGATGTCAAAAATTTAATACAAGTTAATTATTTTTAAAAATAATTTTGGATTCAAATTTTGATGAGTTGCAGGGTTGGGACGAAGGAATACTGGATTCCAATCCATACTTTACACTGGATTCAGTTTTTTTCAACTTCTGTTTGCGGCTACGACTTTTGTGGGTTGCCCCAAAGAAGTTGTAAGTTGGACCCATGGATCTTGGTATTTCTCAAGCCAATGAAATTAATGGGCTTCAAAGCCCACTCTAGTCATTGATAGCGCCTCTAAACCAAACGAGAGCAAACAAAATGCAGAGAATCAAGGACATCAATCCATTTATACAATTGACACACTCTCATACAGTAACTAGTTATACGGGAAAAAGGCTCTTTACTGATGAGAGGTTTACTTGAAGCCTGACATTATGCAAGCGCGGAAAACACATTTTAAGACCTCAACAATTATCATCTCACCAAACTCGTTGGTAGTGGTGAAGGCATAACTTTATTCGCTTAAAGGGCACAACACCAAGCACCACAAGTCGACTATGTAGTTTTGTTGGCAGCTTTGTCCCGGGCCGACTCAAGATAAATTGAGATTTAAAGTAACAAATTAAAATGTGACCTTTAATAATTTTTTTTATTATTAGAAAAATATTATTTAAAAATTATTTTTCTAAGATTTTAATAATGAAATTAATGGGCCTCAAAGCCCACTCCAGTCATTGATAGCGCCTCTAAACCAAACGAGAGCAAACAAAATGCAGAGAATCAAGGACATCAATCCATTTATACAATTGACACACTCTCATACAGTAACTAGTTATACGGGAAAAAGGCTCTTTACTGATGAGAGGTTTACTTGAAGCCTGACGTTATGCAAGCGCGGAAAACACATTTTAAGACCTCAACAACTATCATCTCACCAAACTCGTAGGTAGTGATGAAGGCGTAACTTTATTCGCTTAAAGGGCACAGCACCAAGCACCACAAGTCTACTATATAGTTTTGTTGGCAGCTTTGTCCTGGGCCGACTCAAAATAAATTGAGATTTAAAGTAACAAATTAAAATGTGGCCTTTAATAATTTTTTTTATTATTAAAAAATTATTATTTAAAAATTATTTTTCTAAGACTTTAATATACAAAATTACTAATTAAATCTTCATATCAAGTTTTGTTACATAGTTTAATGCTTCAATTAATTCTAAAATTCTTCAAAAAGTGTGTTGTCTAATTATCAAATTTTTCATCAATTTACAAGAAAGATGTCACATGAAAGAGTAAGAAACTTTTGTAAAATTTGTTAGTTTATATATCATTACTTATATTATATATTTATTTCAGTTAGTAAAAGAAACTAGTAAAAAAATATTTATTTGTATAATATTACTCATTTGAAACAACAATTTTAGGCCTTCTTTCTTAATGGGCAGAATTATATAAACCTTAACTATAATTTTTAAAAAATTGAGGCCTTAGTAACATTTGTGGCCTAAAACATTAGCTTTAATGACTTGAGAGTTAAGCCGGGGCTGGCTTTGTCTAAATCTTAATAGAGTGGTAGCTTTCTCCGTTCAAAAAATAAAAGTCTAGGTTTACGTCCAGGCATATGTTTTGAATTAGAGGATCCATTTTGCACTATTTTACGCCCACTAAAGACCCGTCTTGGTGATCTAAAATAATTAAAATTGTAAAATATATAGAATAGATTATCCATGTAAAAAAATTAAGTTAATTGGACTTTCACAACAACAACATGATCGGATCGAAATTCTTATTATAAATAAATAAATAACAATTATGATTTTAAAATATATCCATTCATTTTTTTCTCCCAAATATAATTGAACATATGTAACTACTGAAAGTTGATTAATTTAAAATTTTATACAAATAATCTGCTCAACGGGTTTTATAATTTGAACAATTTAAATTACTGAAGCAAACCCATGATAAGCCCACAACAATACAAACAACACCATTCAGTTCAAAAAATAGTATAGTTCACACTCAGGATTGATCTATATACCATGCAATTATTTTTTTTAATAAAATTGTATGAATTGTTGGTAAGTATCTAGATTTATTAATCTATATTGGAAATTTAAGTTTAATTTAATTTTTTTATATTTAAGACCAACAACAACAGGGCGCACACACACATGAAACTTCTGTGTCGATTAAGCCCACGATGTAACAGAAGCTTTGAAATTCATCTCAACCACTGCATGTATTTTATACATATATCTTTTATACAAATAACCTTAAAGCTTGAGAACACACACACAAGAACCTCTTAAATCAGACCATAACGTCTGATTTCCTGCCAAACAAAACTCCCTCCTGCGATGATTTGTTAAAGAACTCAATGCAATCCGCAATGGCTTCATTATAATGCGAGCTCGATGAGTAATACGATGAGCTGCACGAAGTCTTCGGAGGCTCAGGCCGATCACAAGATCTTCTTCTAGGACCCGACGTCCCTGCTGCGGCCTGAGAAGAGGATCCTTTTGATGGAATTGAGAAGACAAGCCTCATTACTATCTTACGGAACCGATCAAAGAGCTTCATGGCTGAGAAGTTGAGCTTTGGACTACGAGAAAAAGAAACCCTAGTTTTAGGGACTTTGAAGTTGTTTTCTTCTTCAGAGTTGTCTGATCTTACTTGTATGACAAAGCTCTCAGACTCTCCTCCTTGAGGCCTGTGCATTTCTCTTCTATGCCCTTTGCCAGGTGGTCTCTCCGGGAAGTGTAATGCTATCATTTGTGAGCAAGGATCCTCTAGAGTGATTTTTTCCTAAAGTTTCCTATAGTATTACATTGTGTGGTTGAGATTTATTGGCAAGTCACATCAGAAAAATTGATGTGACTTGCTAGTAAATCTCAACCACACAATGTAGCACTCTAGGAAACTTTAGGAAAATTTTACTCTAGAGGATCCTTGGTGATCATTTGTGTCGTGAGGGATTTAAAGACAGTGATGAGGTCTCCCAAAGCCTTTTTTTAACATTAAATTAACGAATATAAAAACTGATTATAAAATTATACACAGATGAATTAGATTTTTTAAACATAAATTCAAATAAACTCCCCATAAAATCTTATTTATTCGGATGTACTTTGTATCTAATTTTGTAATTAATTTTTATATTCCTACCAAATTTGTGAAGTTTATACTTATATGAGTCAGACTCAATGAGCATAATTGAGAAGAAAAGAAGAATGTTGTCTCAACCATGTGCCCAAATCATTTGCATGGGCTTCTCTTGTCCTTACCAAGAGCAATAGTTTAATTGGGTTCTGCGATTATCTTCATCTCTAAGCAGCGTTTAAACATATACTATAAACATTGAAATTTTTTATATGATTAGGTGGGTCGAGGTTCACATTAGTTAGGGGATGAATTAAGCTAGCTAATCCATTGTATTAATGACATGAGATTCTAACTAACAATCTGACAACATAGCTATGAAACGTACATGAGGAGTAGCCAACTCTTTTTTATTTATTTTTTCTATTATTATTATTATTATTTTTTTCTCGAATTATAAAAAATGGTAAAAAGCCGTGACTAAAGCATAGCAATTCTTTTTAGACGTGTGATCACAAGAGCTACTACATGTTGGGGATGTCAGACAAGCGAGCCCAAAGAGGATTAGAAATTTACACATATTTACCTGACCCAGTCTTATAAGACATAATAACAAAGAATCTATGGCTCACTAATAACAATGTTATAAAACGAGAAAAAAATTATCTATAATAGTACATTCATAGATCATAATTATTCATGATATAACTCGTATCTTACTAACTTTAAAATTTACACCATGCATCAAATTTTGGGATAAACTTCCATGATTCATAGCATTTTTTGGCTCACTGACAATGGGCAAGAGTCTTGACCCTAAACGTTACCCAAAAACACATGTTCTCCTAATTATGAGTTCCCAACTTAATCATAATCATATAAGAAGTCCATTTATCAAAATTTCATTATGTATGGACTCTAGGGAAGGTACGATAATATTCATGCATGAGCAAAATTGTTGAAAACGAAGAAAGCAAAAACAAAAAGGAGGAAAGGAGAGAGAAAAGGACTGAGGAATTCCCTATCAATATAAAGCTTGCATTATTTCATAGCTTTAAACAAATTTTTGATGGCTTTAACTTCAAGGATGACGAGGTGCTTTTTTAAAAAGTGGTGAGGTACCAAAGATAATATATTGATGATCAGTCAAAAGCCACAAAAAATGGGCTTCTTAATTTTCATAATCACACAAGTATTAAGTAGGTAAATCTGTCTATCTATGATTATTTGACTCCCTCTCCTCTAGTTTAAAATTGGAATTTAAAAAAAGTGTTTAGTAACAATTATGATGGGTGGCCTGCTTTGTTTTCTCATGAATCCTTTAACTCTTATGCTATGTTTGCTTCACTAAAATAAGGTTGGAATGAAATAGTTGTTTTGTCATAATATCAATTATCGTGTTTGTTTTGATAAAAATTACATGAATGTACACTGCAAATGGAATCACAAATGAAGAAAAATGCTACGACACAGAAATACACCATGGTGGGTTATTTGGTTTATTTATGTGACTATAAACTTACTGCAATCTTACTTCTTTTAAGAGTTGTTTTTTTTTTAGCTTTAGGATTTTTTTTTCCTATTTTGAGTTACGTTTTTTCTTTATTTTTTAGGTTCTTTTAGACTAAATGATCCTAAAATTTTTAGAACATTTTTATTAAAAAAAGATTTCAGATGATATTTTTGACAATTTTTTTTTTTTTGGGTCTCTACTAAACCTAGCTTAGAAGAAGTTACCCCCCAAAAAAATGACTCAAAAAGAAAGTTCAAAAATAAAAAGAAAATTCCCCTAGAAATGAAAAAAGTAAAAAAAGAATAAACCAACAACAGCAACAACAACTCAAGAGTTGAGAGCCAAAGAACTGTGAATAGTAAGACTCCAATGATACATATTTTATTAGAACTAAAGAGTGAAAGGGCTTTGGTTGAGATACAATGATTTTGGCTTAGGGGAATTATAATTGTGTCCCATAACTTTCTTCCCAAAACATAAAAAGTGATATTGATGCACTAACCAATGTCCCATGAAAGTTTCTTAATCATCCAAAGTCAGGTTGTCATTACACAATTAAACAATAGAGTAGCAACTTTCTCGTTTTTCCTATTTTATGTCATTAAGAGGCCCATATGGTACCCTTTGCTTTGGATAACGACAAACGATATGAATTTAGAGCATACTAAACACTCGTAAAAAGTTTTAAATTTTACATCCAGAACCTCTAATCGCTGTATCAAATCCATTGCACCAGTTGAAGCAGCTCTAATTAGAAAATCAAAAAAAATACACTAGCTAAAATAAGTTGCTTTAAAAAAATTGCACAATTTCAGAAAAAGTTAAATTAAAATGTTAATTATTTCCTAATTGGATTGTCAAAGAGGTCCTACATCTTGTCAAAGTCAGGAATAAAATCAACCACATAATTCACAATCAAGAAATTTCACTTTTAGTGACTAAAATTTTAGTTGTCAAAAAGTCTATTTTTTATTCGCCAATCATTTTTGCTGACTAATATATTTGGTCGCCAATAGATCGTCGAGGAAACAATCGGTGACTAAAATTTTTTTGATAGCAAAAAATGACCTATTAGCGACTAAAACTTTCGTCGCCATAAATTTTTTTAAAATAATTAAATATATATATTTTTACTTTAGGGACTAAATTATTTAGTAGCCAATAGAGCATGTATGTTTGGCGACTAAATTTTTTGTAGTCAAAAGTTTCACTTTTTGAGAATTGGCAACTAAACATTAGTAGCCAAAAGTTTCCTTTTTACAATTGGCGATTAAAAGTTTAGTAGCAAAAAGTTTCACTTTTTCACAATTGGCGACTAAAATTTTACTAGTCAAAAGCCAACCTGTGATATTTGTTTAGTCGCCAAAATGTCTCATTTAGTTTTTATAATTTGTTCTGTAATATTTTTTACGCCACCACTTTGTGCATTATGCTAAAGGTTAGGTGTGTACTCAATCTTTCCCCTCCCAAACACACATTAATGTGTACTAATTGGGCGTTGCTTTTTAATATTTTTTGCGCCACCTGAAACCTGTGCATATATAAAATTATTTATCTATTCGTTCATTTATTCAATTCTCAACCATTCAATAAAAATATTTCTCTACAACTTATAGCATTCAATTTCTAACCATATACAAAATTTAACTATTAAAAGCCATTTGAATGCCTTATTTCAACAAAATGTATTAAGTAGTGAAGAACAGAGACATAGACAATGTAATAACTCTCAATCATCCTTGGCCCTTTGATCTCTTAGTTGCTCAAGCTCTTCAATCAACACCGTCAAATTTTTATGAGATGATCCACCTTCTTTAATAGCTTTCAATGCCATCTCTCCCAGCACTTTAGCCTTCTCTATCATCATCACCCTCCTCACGACGGCCTCTATATTCTCTCTCATCACCACATTCTTTCCAGCATCAATCCATAAGTTCCAATCCTTCTTCTTAATTATTAAATTGGAACTATCAAAAGAAACATTATAAACATTGCAGAATGAATTTATGAGACTATAGTCCCGTTTAGTAGAGCTGTGGAAAAATGATTATAGATTATACCTTAACAGATTATAACTTATAACTGTGAACATAAGCTATTAACCTTGTGAACATAAGCTATTAGCCTGTTTGGTGCAGCTATGGGATTATGAATTTAAGTAGCAGAGCAGTGTTTGGTTGATAAGTTGTAAAATAGCTTTTTCTGTATAATTAACCTTTTTGCCCTTATATGATATAAAAATGATAATTTTGTCATTTTTTTCAATTTTAATTTAAAAAAATTATTTCATTAATAAAAGTTAATATAATTAGTATTAAATAGTATCAACTAATATAAAAATTGATACATTTGATAAAAATGTAATGGAAGTATTATTGTAACAATTTTTTCCATTATAAATTAATTAGTATCAATTAATTGCTCAATCAGTATCAACTGAATTAACACTAAAATTATTAATTAGTATCAATTAATATTAATAATTAATTAGTATCAATTAATATTAATAATTAATTTTTATTAATATCAAATAATATTAATAATCAACCATTGTTATTAATTAGTATTAATTAATTGCTTAATCAGTATCAATTAATACTAAAATTATTAATTAGTATCAATTAATGGCTTAATTAGTATGAATTAATACTAAAATTATTAATTAGTATCAAATAATATTAATAATCGACAATTGTTATTAATTAGTATCAATTAATTACTTAATCAGTATCAATTAATACTAAAATTGTTAATTAGTATTAATTAATGGCTTAATTAGCCTGAATTAACACTAAAATTATTAATTAGTATCAATTAATATTAATAATTAATTTTTATTAATACCAATTAATATTGATTTTTTTCTTTTTCTTCAAAAATACACAATTTTTTATTTTTTAATTAATATTAATATTGATTTTTTCCTTGTTTTTTAATTTTTTTTCTAGGGTTTCAACGTCGCTGGCAAACAACCGCTGATGGCGAACAACCGCCGATGGCTAGGGTTTCAATGTAAATCACGATCGCGACGGTGACGACCACAAATGTGACAACCCTCACTTCTGATTAGCGTTAAATTATGATTAAACATGTTAAGTAATTGATTAAGATGAAGTCCTAAATTGTTGTGTCATGTTTAGAATGCATTTCTATCTGTTTGTTACTGAATGATCTGTTCATGTTTTATTTTCGAACTACAAATTG